CCCCAAAACCCCAAAACCCCAAAACCCCATCAGGTTAGACTATGGCATGTGAAAGGGAATGGTAATGATTATAATATAATAACAGCAAGGGAAAACATTGATTACTCGCATTGATACTCCTGCCCTATTAATTCAACAATAAGACACCTACTGAACACATTCATCAAGTGTTAGGCCATTCTACTGAAGATATTTCTAGATAAGGTTTCAATTTTGAGATAAATTTACAAACATGAATACTACTAGGATTGAAGTATAAAAACTTAGCAACTGTCTGTCAGGGTGATTTGTAATTTCGGCATTTAAATAATCGATTTCAACTAATTGTCTACGCTACTAAAACCCTTGGTTACCTTTACTGATGATTTATGCAACTTAAAAACCATAATAGATTGGCTGTGGTATCTAGTTCTGCACAAAAAGAAACCCTCTTATCAGTCATTAAAGTCTTTAATAGAGCAATGAAATAAATACTAAAACGCATTGGAATAGTATCTCAGTATAAGTAAATTTGATAAAATGAGACAAATATCTGCTTATCATATAAACCTATAGCAATAAAATAAATGCAGCTATTTTAAAAATGAAACAGTGTTTCAATGCGGTTTCAAGACTCTATAATAGGGCGGTTCAAGATTAATTAAGATATAGAACTTAAACTATACACATATAGAAAGATAAAAAATTAAACTTTAATAATAATAGATTTTAAATCAGAAAAACTCTCGATATATATAACATTGTGATAAAATAAGAATGCTAAAGCTTTATACAAAGGAATGGAAAGATTTTATTTAAAAATTAGAGGTCATCAAGACCAAGTCTAACAGAGAAGTCTTGTGTATTCATTGCTGGTAAATGCTTAACTGCAAACAAAAAATAAAACATTTGAAAAAGACCCCCGATCACGAGAAATATTTATTAACATCTACTAAATATGCTAGCGAAAAGCAAATTATTGCACTCGCTAAAGCTTAAAACAAATTCGTCACACAGAAGGACGGAGAATTTATAGTTACTCCTTTCGGTCCTTTAAATAGATAATTTAGGGATACGATCAGTTTGTTTAACGGAGAAGACCAGAATGAGATGAAAGTGCTAAACATCGATATAAACCAGTAGACTTATAGGTAACCATCTACGGCTACCCCAATTAAATATGATCAACCACTCAACTAGTAAAACCTCTTTGGACTTGACTCAGCGCAAGCACTCCTCAAATAAAATATCTTTTTGCCGGTTAGTCAAAATCTCAACTAAGAATCCTCAACTCAAGATATTCTTTCTCAGCTTAATGCTAAATTGGATTCTATAGTGAAAGTATTATAGATGCTGGTATAATAAGACCTACTTGTAAACTAGAATCTCTCTCATTTAAATTAAAATTTCTAAGCTCTGACGCAATTGCAAATTAGCGGTAGATTCAATCCACACTAAATAAACCATGAAATGCAGAACCCACTACAATCAGCTTCATAATTCCCGTAGTATTATCTATAGGGATCATTCCAGTCACCATTAGCCTAAATAGGGTCCAGAAACTAATAAATATCTTTGTTAGGTAGTAAGTAGCAATATAAGTCCTATATAATTCAACCATTTTAGGCAAGATAGGAACAATCAACAATCAACTTCCTTAGTTAAATGACAGCCTTAAACAATAAAAGACACACTCAGTGGTTAGTGATGACTCTAAGACCTAATGTAATTATATATAACATTTTAACAGTCAAACTTAGAATACAATCCATATGAGGCATTATCAGGGATCCAATCCTTATAATAATTTAGCAATCAAATTTAGTAGTAATAGTAAAATATTATTAATGAGAATCAAATTAGCGCCTCGACTAATAACTAATCTCTTCCAAGCCTCAGACAGATCAACTAACAACAAACTTAACCTAACCTCTAATAATTTCTTCAATAAATATAAAACAATAATTTTACTAAGTAATAAGATTAAACTTAGATTGGGAATACATAGACTTGCGCAGGAAATATTTAAGTTTAATAAAATTAGACAGAGACTTTGGAAAGAAATTTAAATTTAAGAAATTAAAGTGAGCAACATTAAAACCTTAATCACAAAATATACGATCAGTAACCAGCTAACAACGGGGAAATCCAGTAGATGTATGGATACATGTGAGAAAAACTATGAAAGTAGTGTGAACAAGATGGAGTTAAACAAGAGCATTAATTTAGAAATGGCTCGTTCTCTTCATCATACTACTTATTTTAATACAATTATATAATCTTCAATATAAATTTTCAATATTTTCAATAGTTTAACTGTAGTATTTCAATTCTTAACGGGGTTTTGGGGTTTTGGGGTTTTGGGGTTTTGGGG